TAAATTTAGATTTGATGCAACCCTACATCAATGCACGTCAAAACAAAATATTTACTTTGAGGCTACGCTTAGTTGTTTTTTTTTAAATCGAAATTAAATGATGCGATTTGGGTATTTTGGTGAAATTACTAAAAAAAATTAATTTAAAAGTAGCCGCCTGGCATGGAACGTGTTATGGGGGCCGAAAATATAGGAAATGACCCATTCTATCCGCCAAATCAATTTGGCACACGATGCGCCAAACACCCTGTATGTTACTAATATTACAAAAATGATTTTCCTAAACATGTGGTATGATCTCTGGTATAACATCAACAATTCGGAAAATTCTTTTGTCAATTGAAGCTTTACAGTTTCCAATCCGGGAGTTCCCAAAAATCCCGATTGTTATTCTTTCACCAACCAAAATACACGGGAATGAAGCCCCGGGCAAAGGCTAGTGCAGAACATTTCGCTGGAAAATAAACCTGTTACTTATGGGAACACAAAATATTTCAATCTATACTGTGTCTGTTTGTAACTTTGTTTGAAAAGGCAACAAAGGACTTGTCATGAAAAAAATCTGCGTTTGAACTCTGTTACATGCGATGGTAGTATTTTGTTCCAGTGTCTCTTCTTAGCACTTGATGATATTTATTATCTAGAAGTGTTAGTAGAACTTGGACATAAGGAATAGGTAAAGAGCCCCTTGAGTAAGGGCTTTTTTTACCTTCATTACTATCTCAGATCTGATTCAAAATTTAAAGATGAGTATTTCTTTTATTTTATTTACGATACATTTATGGAACACGCTTATTCAGCCATTTACTTAACTGTATCGTAAACACATCCATAATAGAAAACAGAGATGTTGAGCTCCTTTCCTTTGCTTCTTATAAAAAAAGCATAGTCTTATAAGTTCTTCATAAGTGACAAGCACAGAATCGCACCCTAAAAACTTCCTCTATGAAAACCACATAAATAATGACCTGAAAGATGCATCTTTCATAACCAAAGGACAACGGAGACTCGTATAACAAACAGTGTCAAAGGCTTCTCAAAGATCGAAATAAAACCTGCAAGATGTATACAATCCGTACAATGGCTGAACTTCTTGTGAAACCAATTCATTGTATCTAAATGCACGGTTCTATGCGCCGAGTTGTTGACCCGCTACTAATGATAGAGCACAATGTACTAGGGAATCTATTCTGTGTTTTGAAGTTGTATGAAATACCGATACCGATGCCACTTAAAGTTTTAGAAGGCTTCACGGCCTGAGGTACTCGGGTTATTCCCAAGATGTACAAATAGTCTGCCACTAGAGTTGTTAATACGATAGATTGAAGACTAACTTGGTCTTTTGTATGTCTAATAATAGATAGAAGACAAACAGAAACGCACACAATTTTATTGACGTTATCAATACATAATAAAACAAAGTCACTTTAATGTCTGTCAGTCCCTATGTATGCTTAAATCTTTAAAACTACGCAACTGATTTGATGCGGTTTTTTTAATACATAGGTAGAGTGATTCAAGAGGAAGGTTTCTTATGTATAAATTTGTACCTGTGCGAAGCAGGGAAGGGTCGCTAGTAATCTATAAGAGAAAATGACTTAAACTGCGACAAGCTAATGAATATAAAAAACCGTCACAAAACGTTACCAGCTAACAAAAGATCACTTCAACGTCGCTGCGTTAATTGTTAATTGTTAAAACTTACTCCACGTAAAGCTCGTTCAATCCCAATACCGGTTTCTAACTGAAAAACCGGTAACAAAAACCGGTGCTCAGCGCAGTTTCGTTAAATCAGCAAAGGCCGGAGTTGGATCCGCGCCGAGTGTCGCCGGATTGCTGCAATTTATACCGTCACGGCGATAACGATTTAACTTTATGTCTCCGCTGTAATGGGGACAAATCTCGGGGTTTTTTAATCAATGCTGCATTCGTTACATCACATTTAAGCACATTTTTACATAATCATCAAAATTCATCATCATCATCATCAACAGCCCTTTACAGTCCACTACTGGACTATGAGCCTCCTCCACTATAGTGGAGGAAATTATTGGGTAAAAAATAACTTCTGACTTTCTGAAAAGTACTGAAAATTGTGGCCTAATTCGCGGATTTTGACACAGTCAAAATCTCGTTGACATTTAGAAGTCGTTCTATTGAAAAACAATACTAAATCTGTATTCACAAGGGTCATTTCGATAGAACGATTACTTGATAGGATCGCAACTCAACGATTTGTTGTTAAATTTTGTTACGTGAATAAGGCTACTGAGTCAGTTTAGTAGTAGAGTTTTGTAGAAAATGAAGGATGTCATGACTGAGGTTATCGCTCACTACTAACCTATTATTACGGTAGGTTTCGTCTACAAGAGGAAAATGTCTGCTCTTCCTGTGGATGTTATAAAAGAATACTAAGGCTAAGTGAACGATAAACTCGTATGAATTGATGTTCATACAAGTCTATCATTCACGTACCCTTAGTCTCCTAATCATCAGCCTCCTAATGTCTGGCCAACGTGGGGAGTGTCCTATTTTTTGCCTCTGGTAAATTAAAGACGGTCGTGTCCTGACAAAGCATGCTGCCTACTTAGTAGAAATACTTTGAGGTCTACAAATATCTAACTCCCGAGTTCAGTGGTGTGTTATAAATATAAACAACTGCGAAACAAAAAATACCCTCAAATATATCACGCACTAACAAGTTTACTGGTGACACCGAATCAGTTTTATATGGATTTATACGCGGGTATGACGTGGGCACTAGCGGCCAGTCCTAATGGGTTCCATTACGCCACAGCCGGAGCAGAACAGCCAGTTTAGTAATCACTATTTGCCGCGCACTTCAATTGTTATCTATACATCTATACATATATATAAAAGAAAGTCGTGTTAGTTACACCACTTATAACTCAAGAACGGCTGAACCGATTTAGCTGAAAATTGTCAGGGAGGTAGTTTAGAGCCAGGAGAAGGACATAGGATACGTTTTATCCCGTTCGAAATTAAAAAAAAAGTCTGCTTATTTATTGCCATTAAGGCGGAACACAGTTCGCCGGGTCAGCTAGTTACAAATAAAAAGGTTGGGAAAAGTTTAGGAGCCAAGTGCTCCTTCGATTGTTTTGAAAATGAAATAACAACAACACATATAATTTTAAATTGAAAGAGAACCAAGTATTCTATTTAAAAGTCCACTACTGGCTTTATCGTAAAAGTAATTTCTCATTTATTTAGTATTCAACTTCAGTTTTAAGCAAAGTAACAAATGTTTTATCTACAGATGAATGAAATGTAGAGTCGTAACGTAGCCCGAAGCATTTTCTCTCTGCATATTTTTTTAGTATAACGTATTAAACTATAGATATTTTAATACGTTATACTAAAAAAATACCACAGATGGTATACCTAACATTTAATAGTGCTTATTTGATGAGTCACAACCTAACAAGCAACGTATGTAGGTACAATTATGTAAGCCCGATGCTTGTCACAAAACTACCGATCCCGCAACGAATAGATACTTATCTAAACCCAAAGCTTTTCACAATACTATCGACGCTTTGGCCTGGCCGCTCTCCTTTGGCCAGCGATTCCGTCCCGCCACCTGCACTAATGGCGCACAAATATTTAATTGATGAGTACTGTACTGATTCCTTCGCCCGCATTTTTCATCCTTCCCGTACTTTACCGTTTCGTGTAAGCACGTACAGTTCGGTTGCTGCTGCGAATTGATTCCGCCGGCTGACGATAAATTCCGTAGCTTATTCCACTTTCTGTTCGCCACATTGGAGATGCAATTTGGTACCGGCAACGAGCTGTAAATCAATCTTTACATATTTCGTGCTGCGTTCCGTTGCACGCTCGAAGATTGATGGCGTGTGTGAAAGGGCCTTGGACGTTTGAGGAGGTCCGGCGCTTTATATTCTTTAGGATCGCTGCAGGATACTTTGAGTCCAAGAGTTTAGTTCCTGCACAAATATGCACTTTGTGCAATACATTTTGGCAATCTAACGCCACTTGACACTTATTTCAACGCCATGTTTTCGTAAACTTATCTTATCTATGTATATTATCGTATATCTATAAAAGCGAAAGGTCACTGATAGACTGTCTGACTCACTCACTCATCACGAAATCTCACGCTTGTATTCACATTACTATGAGGTCTCACAGTGCGCGTGGACGCACAGGGTGACACACGAACCAAACATAGAGCTCTATTCAGCGCTGTGCGTTCGATTTCATGCTTCACTTAAGCAAGCATCGTTTGTAAATACGAGTGTCAGACACTACAAGTGCTAGGAGTCTCAAATTTTGCATGGGGTTCCTTTTAGAACGTAGGTGCTCATTAAGACGGGATTTTGCAAAATTCAACCCCTAAGCTGGTAAAACGAGATCCACGCGTACGAAGTCGCGGGCGGTATTTGATAAAGTAAAATAATTTCGATTAAACAGTACTGTAAACTGAAAATGGCTCTAGATTTGTAATTTTGATACAGACAAGTTAGATTTCAAATAAAAGCAAAAGATGTCGAAGTAAAATAAGCATTTTAGTTAAAATTAAAATTGTCTCTACCTGTAGCGGAGAATAATGTTGTCGCAGGCCTTTGTTCAAACGATCATAGCAAATGTTGTGATAGGGATAGAGACATGCGATTTTTTGTTTTACAAAGATAATACGATAGAGAAAAATACAAAGTAATAAAAACTACCTGTTATAGGGGCATTTTTTGGAGAAATTTATCAAATAACCAAAAAAACACGAATTTAAAAGCAGATTTTTTTCAAAAAGTATCATTTTTTATTATTTGTTGGCATTTTTTGTGTATTTTATGTATTTTTTTAGTATCGCCTGTTATTTAGCATTATTACTGTTTTTATTTTATCAGGATATACCTCTTAGTTTAAAAGTTATTACGTTTTTTTTACAATAAGTAATTGGAAGAAGAAAAAATCTATAAAAAATTAAAAAAAATCTTTAAAAATTTTGACCTCTTTTTTGTCGATATAAAAATAGGTCTAGTTTCATCTATTTTCATAATATGTACACTTTAACGTGACTCACACTGTATATTCATTTCAGAACCAAATAATTCGTTATGGGCCTCTGACGACTGTAGTGTTTGGTCAACTTATTCAAATATCAGTTATGTTTGAGATGTTAGGTGCTGAGGTAAGTACAAATAAGTATTTTTTGTCAAATACCGCCTATCTCCGCATGTGTCTACAGTTCAATTAAAAGGTTCAGCCAAAGCGACGCGTGCAGCCGGCGTGCATAATGGCGATGGCGATCAGACTAATCTAAGACTTACATGTTCTATTGACCACCATCGCCATCACCTACGCGCACGCAGGCTGATCGCGTTGGTATGATATCTAATATTAATAATCTTTCTTTAGATGTCTTTTTAACCATGGCTTTCACAGAATACCAGCGTTTTGTTCCAGATTCTACCTTATAAGTAGCATCACACATGCTTAGTTGCCATCCAAAGTTAAAAACAAGTTTATCCTACACAGATTTGATCTATATTTCTATGGATTTTGGACTAAATGAAAAAAAAAACTTTCTTCTTTGTATGTAAATTCTCTCCTCAGACGGAGAAGCTAAAGGATTCAGCTTACTTCGTGCCATGGGAGTGCATGAACATCAGCAACCGGCGCACCGCTCATATCATGCTGCACAAGATGCAGGACAAAATCAGCATCAAAGCGTTGGGTCTGGCTGCGGTCGGAGTTAATACTATGATGGGGGTAAGAACGAAGAAAGAAACACAGAAAAAACTTTATAGCAACAACAAAAAACTATTTTGTTTTTGAGTTAATTTGGCCCGATTGTTTCAAAAATAAACTTATGGCGTCCCGCGCACTAGACAGCCTGGCTGCGGCAGCCAATCGAACACATGGCGGTGTATGGCCCGCGCCACAGGCAGCCAAGAGTGTTCATTAACCGGATTGGCTGCCACAGCCAAGCTGCCACAGGGTCGCTAACTAACTCACCAAAAAATAGTGATTTTGACATAATCTTTTGTTACAGATTTTGAAGACCACGTTTTCGTACTATGCATTCCTACAAACAATGAATGATTAATTTTTTTGAGTTATCCAGTAAATATTATAAAAAATATATTACAGTAAATTATTCAACACGCTATAGGCACTACGCACCATGTTATATTTATAAGTTCACTCACTACTTATTGCATGTTATGTTTAATCACCAAGTGTAATTAAATTGTCTAATTGTAATTAAAAATGAAAGTATCAAACGTAGAAAACTCAAAAGACTTGCACAATGAACTAACTGTATTTACCTTATACTGTTAATAAAATAAACTATTCACGGATAATAAAATTACTTTAATTTACTTTTGAACCAATAAACTTTTGAGTCATTTCTTTGAAAACGAACTCAAAGAAGTGTTAAACTATATGAGTAGATACCAAATAAATGAAATACATGTAATTATGTATTGACAAATTTAACATTAAAAATATTTGGAGATTAATTAGGATCGTAAGTAAAAGGAATGATTTATGTTTTATAACTTTTATTATAGAAAAAAGAAGGATAACAAAAAAGAAGGTTGTAAATAAACCAAACTAGTAAGTGGCGAGGACAATTTTGCCTTTTGACTAAATAAACTTTTTAACACCAAATATAATGGGCACTCGTTACCAACTAGGAGAGAAAAATCACATTTAAGTTACAAACGAATCAAGTATAAAGAATGTAAACTCTCTGGAAATATTCGATCACATATTTGTTTTGGATGTAATTAAATGATAACAAGAACTGTGTAATATTTCAACTAGCTAGTTTATAATCGCCGAGTAGGTGTATGGATGGGTAACATCATACCAGAGGAATCGTGCTTGGAGGGGGCTGCAGTAGTTACAACACCAAGATATATTGACCTAATACATGTACCTAATACATAATGAGTATCGGCATTAACATTTTCAAAGTTTACTTAGTAAGTAGATAGAAAACTTAAACCTAGATCATTAGCCTAGTTTGCAAATATGCAGAATGCGTCCAAGCTTCAATGTTATATAGATTATTCGATCACAGCGAGTACATCAGCTTTGTTGAACTTTTTTTTATTTAATACATTAAATTACAATCTATTTTCCGCTAAGTGAAACTTGGACACACTTTTTCAGTTACAAAACCTTATGTCTAAACATTGAAATGAGATTATCCAAAAACGATCCGACGCTTAATGAGATCATAATATAAAAAGTATGTGCTTGTGCTCTCTTACGGAATGATTTATACCAATACCATCAGGCAGAACCAGCTCATAACAACTAAGGTACCATAACAGAATTAAGCTAGGGTATAAACAATCACGCCTCCTGCCAAACATCTCTACGCTGAACGAGTATGTCGTTTGATATGACTGAAGTATTCTATTCAGTAAACGTATAATTAAGTACTTATAAATCAAATAATTTACTAATTACAACGAACATTGAATGTATCGGTTCTCACTAGGATAAATTAAACTAACTTATTTTAACATTAAGTGTATAATAGATGACTGTGGCTGTGGCATATATGGTATTGAATGTTTGTTGTTCTCGAGATCACATATACTATAGTGAAAAAGTTGAAAAACACGTACATACAAAATATCCAACACTTATTATCATGGCGTTACATTTAGATTAACGTATGTAATTTTATTTAACCTAGACCTTATTCCCTACAACACACATGCAGACCCAATAGCGGTCTGTCCCTAAATAAGACTACGTGGGACTAAGCCGACACGCAGTCGCCATTTCAAGCACATAAAACTAAACATGTGCAAAAACGATTCATCAACACGATGTGCCACTCTAACCTTACGAAATGTATGAAATCTATTTAATACACAATATACCAATATCTTTAACTAAAACATTAAATGCAACATCAACGAGCAGCTAATAACCAAACAATCAGTAATTACCATTCGTAATTTTTCTTCTAAACACTTCTAAACTTCATAACAAAATTTGGAAAAGAAAAATACAAACTGTCATAAAATAACATCCAAATATAACGATTTTAATTCGCGTACGAAATAATGGTAACATAATTTTGGAGATTTACACAAAGAGTGAAAAGTAATACTCTGTAGGTGATGACGTAGATACACTCTTTGTAATTAGAAAAAAAATTCCTCACTTCAAAACTATGCATAAAGAAATCTATTTCATAAACTGTTATAACAAAATGGAACATCGGAATAGCATTTTTCATTGCACAGCAAGAATCGAAAATAGCAGAAATCGTTCGATTCCTTGAAACTGCGAATTCTAGTGCTGAAAGTCCACAAATATTGCACGAATTCCCAAAAAAATGTATCATTATGATAAGTCTAATCCACGATTAAATTGCGAAATAATTAAAGTCCAAAAGTCTAGGAAGGTAGTAATAATAAAGCCTAACCTAATCGAAGGTAGGAATAATAAAGATCCCGTATAGATTTTGTTTACCAACAAGCGGTAACGTATTTTCAAGATATCACGCGATTTAACATTCAACTTGTAAAGGTATACAGAACTATATGTATATTGTAAATGTCATGAAATTTATTACTATGTGTAACAACTAGGAGTTTAAACACTCAGAAACCCCGTGAGTCAAAATACATTTATAGAGCTAGAGTGGAATACGATTTTACAATTTAAATGAAGTAACTTGGATTTGGAAGATTGAACCATTTTACTAAATTCCGTGCTACAACATCAGACTACTACAATCTAAGGGACGATTCCCATTGACCGGCGCACGTCGGAGCGCAAAGAAGAAGCCGGCTCACAACTGAACTGTATCAGTTAGACATTTCAATCCGGACGGATGCGCGGGCTTGCGTCGGAAGCCGGTCGACTCCGAGCGTATTCGTCGCTCGGCCGCCGTCGACTATGGTCGGTGGCTATCGTAAGTCATCCACCCAAATTTTTCTCTTCCTGTTTATTTTATTTTGGTTATTTTCATCTTTTTCCCAAGCGATTGCTAACAAAACAACATCCCATTCCACCATTTTATAATAAAATTATAACACGTCCACACAGTAGGAGTTATTAAAGTAGACTGACAGCGATGTGACACTAGGCTGATGCCAGAGGATACTCGCGCTTTTAACCGCATTTTTGGCCGTACGGACGCTGCGATGCGCATTGACTCACGCCGATCAACGTAAATCCTGCATAAGACGAATAACAACCGCAACAACAATTCGGTCAACAAGTAAAATTGTCTTCTTTCTTTATTTTTTTTTTTAGTTACAATCACACCACATCGACTTAATAATTAAAGATATCGCGTAAATCTGACTTCAAACACAGGGTAAACTGTAGACGAAATACGTCATTATCATTAAGTTCCAGAAAAAGTTTATATTGTCTTTGGTTCGCAATCAGAGCTCGAAATCGACTTAATATTTTTTAAACTATTGTCTGTATGCATGGCCGCCATAGGCTCAACAAACGAACCTCAGCGGTCTTCGTCGCATCGCCTTTCCAGAATACTGATCTTACTTTTATACCATCGCTTATAACTTACTTAATCCAGATACTACTTTGGTAAAAGAGATTATTAAAAATGGAAAAAGGAACTTTGTATAATATTGTTTGAATTCACGTTTACACCTAATTACCAAATAGAAGACTTAATTTTGGCGAATAAAGCCGGTACGTAGTTTTGTAAAGATTTATCATTACATGTATAAGTATTACTTAACATTATCCTTAATTAATTTTCATATACATGTTCCCATCATTTAAATTCGTATCTTGACACGAATCGTATCTAATATCCCATAGGCATTGGGAATTGGTAAGCGATCTACACGAAACTAGCATACTAAGAGTCACTAGAACTGTTCAATACAAAATTATCAAGGTTCTAAGAGACATGAAAGTGCATTTTTGAAACACTACTAACAATCACAAAGGAGACCCTGCAGTTATTAGATCAACACAGTCAAGAGTTAGCATAGAAGGCGCATACAGTGCAAGGGTTGTGGAATGTCTTACTTATTCCAGTACACAATATGGAGAAAATACAATCATAGAAAGGGTTCCTGATGAAGGAAAAGTAATTACAGGATATTTGACCATAATGGATTGCAAATAGGGTTCTGTGTGTCAATCAGAAACCACTACTGTTACTTGAGATCTCGTATCTTTTCCGAATATCTGTACCAAGAGTTGACCCAATATTGTGTAGCCATTCCACGTTGGTCCAGCGACCAATGACGCCCACCGTCGATCATTACAAATCACAAAGTAGGTATTTATTTACATTTTACTATGATTTATATTCGAGTTAATACGTTGCCTGATATTGGCCACAGTATTCCAAAACAATTTAAGATGAGCGTTTTTACAATGTCGTATATTTTCTATTTACTCTTGTAATATGTTTTGAATAAATACAAAACATATGTACCAATACAGAAAGTATTTCATAGTATGTGACGACTTCATTGCGGTTTAATATATGGTTACGGAAACATCTCAAACTTATTTATCCTACTTTTTATAATTAATTTGAAATATTAAATTGGTTAATTATCTAAATATTTGCGATTCGTCGTGATCAAAAGATTGCATGAATTCCGTGGAGGAGTGTTATGTAGTTGTTCGGAAAGCATGGTGGACCTGTTTTGATACTTTTAATTTATTTAAACGCTTTGGACTCAATGGCGTCTCAAAAACGGCTTACGGGAATACTTTTCTCCACGGAATACATATTTGTTAATAATGTATTTATTATGTATGTTTGTTAACACATAAATTTATTCACTAAGATAAGCGACGTCCACTCGCAACGACAGCATCACTTCCAAGTTCGACATTTATACAAATTCCAAAACCATTTCGCAAGTTTTTGCAATTGAAATGTAAAGTGTATATTAGAATTACAATTATAGTAAGTATGTCTCTCACACTCACATTTAGAGTAAGAATATGAAATACATATTTGTGTGCGTGTGCCACTTGATAATATTTAACACGCTCACGGACATAATCACGTCGCATATACATACATATTTGCAACATGACATTAAATGCATGAAACGACCAAGCTTCCAATTGTAGACGAATGAGAACAAATAACTTTGGCTTGATATTCCTTCCTATTTAGCCAAATTATGAAATCAAAATACTAAAGTCTTGTAAAGCCTGGTCCGTGAGCACGTAGAATTCCGTCCAATGACCCCAAGCTACCCATCCCTATCGCTCACGCGTAATTATGTTGCTGTCGCGCTCGCACAATCACTGCGGATTCGGGATTCTACGTGCTCACGGACCAGGCTTTAGCAATCGTAGTCAAAAAATAATAATTAGGCAAATTGTAACAAACGTCCAGGAGTGTAGATTTATAGAATCACCGAACCAGCGAGAGCAAAAAAATATAACAAAAATGTCAAAGTGTAGCCTTGTAGCTATCATAGTCACAAAATTACTTTTGTAAATTGTGATAACAAACGTCCACGAAAGTGTAGACTTGTGGGATCACCAAACCAGCGGGCACAAAAAATTTTAACAAAAAATGACAAATCGTAGCCTACTATCATAGTCACAAAATTACATTTGTAAATTTTGGCGACAACCATCCACGAAAGTGTCGACTTGTAGGATCATCGAACCAGCGAGCGCAAAAAAAATTACAAAGTGTAACTAACCTTGCAGCAATCATTCACAAAAGTACCTTTGTTGTAAATTGTGTCAGCAAAATCAGTTAATTTGTAATGTCAATTTAACCCAGCTCATACAAAAAATATGCAAAAAAAAAGAAATAATTGACTGCCAAACGTTGGTAGGTTTAGTCTGGCATCCTACCGATGTCAGCGAGGTGCATCTGTAGTCAGGAGCCCCTTTCCAGCCACTCGTCGGCGTTGGTCAGGGCGCTGCGGATCTCGCACTCTGAGGTAGATGTCGTGGTTATGGCCACCTGGTCTATGGCCTCCAGTGTACGTGACACCGCCATCATACGCTTCAGCAGGCTTTTTGTAGAGAGGATCAGTACCTGGAAAGGACGGTGTGCTTGGTTAATGCATGTTACCAAGTTATGACTGCTGAGAAACTATACAAAATAAAATAATGTATTGCTCGAGGAGCCGCAGCATCCAATGTGTTACAGAATCTATACCCGAGACGAAAAAATATATTATTATTACACCAATGACAAAGAGTACTTATTTGGCCAAAGTATATAAATTTCAATTAAGTAAACTTTCAATCCAACCAACATATCCATACAGCAGCGAATATGTTTGTTTGGTTATGTATTTCCTTCTACTATTACTCTCATTTCAATTTGAACAATGATCAAATAAATATAAATAAAACTAATATAATATAATATGCCAACAAAATCTACTAAAAAACATTGTTATTAGATACAGATTGATATTGTGCTGTGTACTATCCTTAAATAAATAAATAAATAATATTCGAGTTCAACATCTAAGAAGTTTTTAACATAAACACAATAAACGCTTTTTTTTTCTACTGGCTAGTTGCCTAAAAAAATTTTTTTAGTCCGTAATGTTTAATATCAAAAAATATTGGACACGTATAATTTTATTTGTCAATCTAACAAATAATTACATAGTTATGGTGCGTTGAAGTTGCGCACGACGTCACAACGTGCGGCATTTTTAAGCAAGCGTTGACGTCACGGGCCTCTTCTTATGAACTTTGGGGCGCTTTATCTCTTTAAATTTTCATTAGTTTGAAAAAGTGAAAAATACGAGTAGAGTATTTTTTGATAAGTTAACTGACGGACTAATTAAAACTCTTGCTTTATGACCCAGGCAACATCCCCATTGCACGTGCGAACGGAAAATTGTCGACGTGAATGAAATCCAAGTGCAGTTGGGTCGGACATCGCACAATGGTTGGGACGACCGCTACTAAGAAAACGATCAATTACGATCAAGTTGTAGATAATTTATAATGAAGTAACATTATTACATTCAGAAATCGTAATAAATACAGTTAACCGTAAAAAACAAGTGAGTTACAACAACAGAGGATGCGTTAAAAATAAATCCTTTGGGAGAGACCTGTGTCTGGCAGTGGGCGTCTTTGAAAATGTAAAGTAAATGGGTACTGGTTAGGTAGTTACTTTGGTTTCGATCTAAGACGCAAGAAGGTGATTGAGCATCAAAAAGAAAAAGCAGATAATTTGAAGAGCTAAGGGGGCCATGAGCCACCAAAAAAAGGGCAAATAGTTACCTTGATTTCATGTTTACAAGGTCGCCATTACCTACCCTGTACCTTGACAAGGTAGGTAATGGCGATGTGACCTCAAAGAGGGCGAATAGTTAATGTGGCAAAATGGCGATAAACCATCAAAAACAGAAAATAGTTACCTTGATTTCAGATCTAAGAGGTAAGATGGCGATGAGCCACCACAGCCAGGCGGGGCCGTCCGGGCTGTCCCACCACTCGTCCTGCTCGTGGTCCGCGCGTGGGATCTGTCCGAAAGCGTTCTCGATCTCCGTCCGGACCGTCTTGTTCATGTTGTTGAGCCACATCAGAGCCTTGTACAAGATCTGAGAGCTCAGCATCCGTAGGTTCAGGATCAAAACGCCCTCTGTCGGGATGAGATCGGTCAGAGGCTGGATGCGGGCTACGTCGCACCTGAAAATGAAACAGGATGAGTTATTTCTACCTGCTTACTACTTTTTATGTTGTTATGTTGTTATGTTGTGACTGTTCACAGTTTATGTTACTGGGAATGAAACAAACGTTTTAATAAACGATAGTTAAATTAAGATATGTATTAACAATCCCAACTAATATTATAAATGCGAAAGTAACTCTGTCTGTCTGTCTGTCTGTCTGTTACGCTTTCCCGCTTAAACCTCGCAACCGATTTTGATGAAATTTGGCATAGAGATAGTTTGAGTCCCGGGAAAGAACATAGTATAGTTTTTATCCCGGTTTTTGAAACAGGGACGCGCGCGATAAAGTTTTTCTGTGACAGACAAAATTCCACGCGGGCGAAGCCGCGGGCGGAAAGCTAGTAATAAATAAATAAGTCAGGTTTCAATACACACCCTTAGATCTACTGTTTACAGGGGCATAGTAGCTTCTTAGTCGCGTATTGATTTTAAACTCAAGTCGTTTAAACCAATCAGAGGCTCGTATCTANACTAATATTTAAACAATAACTGTAGAAATCAATTCTACAATGAATATTCTTTATTTTGGGATACTTTTATTGCAGTTATTGCTGTGTTTTTAAACCAAAAACCACGATCAAAATGTGACGTTAATCTTCAAATTTGCCAAATTATTTTTAGATTTTACTCAATAATGGTAATGAAATTCAAGAATCTATTTCATTAATGAACTACAAGAATATATGTCCGATGATTACTTTATATTTTTAAGCTTATTATATGAGCATAAATTATAGATACAGGACTTTGAAAATGAGTCTGCGGCAATTTTTTCGTAAAATGGTTGTGGGAGATGGGGCACTGTGAATTAAGCAAAAGAGTTTTAGTAAATCCGTTTCATTAATGGTCAACAACAAGGATCGACCTATCTTTCGCAGTTATTAAATAATCTCTGGGTGTTGCTTAAGATAGTAATTCATGCTTCCAAAATCTTAGAAATTCGCACGAAAATGTAAAATGGCTCTTAAATGCAGATCCAAGCTTCATTATTTCGGAATACAGATGTAAGGACTTCTTTCACGATCTCCGAGTAAATTAGGGCGTCAACGTCTTGTCAGTGTCATGTTTTTTTTTGTTTAATGGCAACCAAACCTCTCTGGGAGGTTTATTTCTGCCAATGTCGAGTTAGAAATTATTATTACCAATAGAACGAGGATGTTTCAGTTATATTGATTTTTGCATTCCGTGGAGTTAGTATGCCCGTAAAGAGGTTAAAGACGCAATCGCGTCCAAAGAGTGTCGTGGTTTTGTTGCTACTCGTAACTTTGAGCAACGAGTAGCCTACTTGAGACTTTACTCATAGATGGTGAATGAGGCTCTAAACCGTCCCGTCCCGCACATACCCGTCCCTGACGTCACGCTCGATGAGCTTGAAGCGGGACACGCCGATGGTGGACAGGAACGACCTGCCGTCCTCAAGGTGCACGCAGTCGCAGACCTCCAGCACCTGAAGAAAAGATAAAACGTTATGCTTGAAATTTGAACTTTGTGATTTTTGATTTTTGATTTTGTTGTGATATGTGAGAGTGCACATTGCGACGACAGCTGCCAGTTGAGACCATGTTGTCTAGTGCTCGGACTCCGAGAGACTGGATTCCTCACGAAATTGCACGAATGTGTGGAGCGAGGATCAAACGTTACTCCTGCTTAGAATTTGAACTTTTTTATGATTTGTGAGAGTGGACATTGCGACGACAGCTGTCAATCGAGACCATGTTGTCTAGTGCGCGCACTCTGAGACAGGGTTCCTCGCGAGGTTTGACGAATGTGTGGATATGCGCTTCGTGCCTTTACTAACTACATGTCTGAAATGTAGAAAATGTACTGTTTCTTTAGCGTCATGCCATGTTATTGAAAACAGCACGTACGAGTAAAAGCTATTGATTGATGCAAGTAACAATCTATTTATCAACTGCTGCTAAAATTACCACTTTATCTTTACCCTATTTAATTGCATTTCTGCTGATTTCGCAGCGCACGTTAACTGGACCGTTCAATACTGTTTACGGGAACCGTTCAATGGTCGTCACTAGTGAACATTTCTGCCCCAACGGCCACCAGTGTGCCTACCATGAGTTTACGTTAGGTGTGGTCGCTAGCGACTGCGTAAAAAAAATGACATTTAAATGTATGACATATTGTGCAGCGCCCCTAGTGGCTACTTTCAAGAAATAAAATCTTCATAGAATTTTTTGACGTATTCGCTAGCGAGCTCACCTAACGTAAACTCATGGTAGGCACACAGGTCTACAAGTTATGTGCCCCACCCACTGCCACTTGAGTTGACCAATTCTGTGGGCAGCGCATAACCGGTCGTGGAAATCCTTGGGGGAGGCCTGTGTTCAGCAGTGGTTATCCTGATGTTGAAATGATGATGATGATGAGACGTGTTACGTACCGTGCCATAGTCTGAGTAGTTGCGGTCGCGCTCGTAGGCCACCATGCCGAACTTGCGAGAGCTGGACTCAAGCACGCGGCGGATCATAAGCCAGTAGCGCGGGTCGAAGATGAACAGTGGGCACGGGATCCTACAAACAAGACACGAACATGTTTCACTGTCGAGATCTTCTTAGCAAGAAATTACTATTTCTGTAACTCCTATGAAGCCAGAATCCAGCAAAGCTTGATCGCCAATAAAAACCCAACCAATGAAGTTCTTGGCGGGAAAATCAAGCGTTATTTTTGCAGATACAAATCTTTGTTTGTGATCGCCTCAACTTTCGTTGCGCTACCCTAAACTTCAATGTTTTTATGGCTTGAAATATAAATTTTACTTGATACTGGTTAAGTGTGCAACACGAAGCCATAATAAAAAAACGGGAAATTTTGTAATCAAATCATCAAGGGGAAAGGACAACGCTAGTCAATTGTTTACTTTTCATGAACTGTCAGAACGCTGTCTATACAAAGAGATTTTGACGTCAATCGTAGGTTTTGTTTTTCAAAGCGAACTGACGACCGAATGAAATCCGAATACAGCAAAACAACTGAGCTAACTTTTCATTATAAAATAATCGTCGCTTTTATTGTGAATAGTTCCCGAATAAGAAAATGCACTTAAGTTCACATGTAATATTTTTAAAATTGAATAATTTTAAAATGCCTTCTTAGTAAACTAACAATGTCGTCTCATTCTAAAATATATTTCATGAAACCACTGATTAGAAACTAAAAGAAAAACCACCGTAAAAGCATTAGATGGCGGCCATTGTGTCGTTTCTGAAAAGAGCGGGGACCGGCAAGTTTCCCGAGCCCTTACAAACAACACAACAAAATATAACCGTTACGTCAATACGCGTAACTGGAAAATAAAACTTTGTATTACGTAGTCTTCTCCGTTTGCTTGCCATTTTTAAACACCTGTTATGCGTTTTTAAGGGTTCTTGTCATCTAAGTAAACGGTAAACGTTTTTATTTCAATATTTATTAAATAGTCATTGGATAAACAAAAATAAAACCAGTGTAAACTTAGACGAGTTTACGTATGTTAAACAAACTAAAACTTGGCCAGATTTATACTTTGAAATTAATCAAACTTGAGAAACTGACAAATAATATTATAAATAATAACAATTCTATTTATTTACTACCATTTAATAATCTACTTAGACGAAATAACTAAAAATATTGCACACGGTCACAAAAGACAATGCCGGAAATTGGCGTCTTTTTTTTTCACGCGGCCGGTAATATAGTTCCTTAGTTATCAGTAATATAGTTACCTCTATAAATATGGCAAGAATGCAAAGTAACACCCTGTTGCGATTTCTTACAAATCTTGCGCGCAAAAAGCAAATCTAGTATGAAAATCATTAAACTTCTAATGCTCGTAACTCAGTTCAGACTGAGTTTAGAGGTATACATGCCATAGTAAGTTTGGTTTATTACAATATTTTGTAACCAAAACACAAAGTTTGGTCGATGGCCGCGCGAAAAAAAAAGACGCCACCTTCCATACAAAATCTGGCATTGCCATTTATATGTATAAGTGTAACTTTTTACGATGTCGATTGCATGTTTTTAGATAAAAGAAATGTGTTACATAACTTTAGTGGAGAAAATTAATTTCAAGGACGTTCGTTCACTGTTATCGTGGCGTGGTTATTCAACCGCTTCTGTAATACTGTAAAACCTTCCAACTAAGTATTTTAAAAGGCTATGAAGTATTACATAAATTGCTTCAAAGGTTATTAATACACGTCTAATTTTAACATAAAAAGAATTGCCGCTGCCAGGGCCTTTCTTTAATCACTACATAGTATAAAACAAAGTCGATTTCTTGTTTGTCTGTCCCTATGTATGCTGATATCTTTAAAACTACGCAACGGCTTTTGATGCGGTTTTTTTTATAGAGTGATAAAAGAGGAAGGTTTACATTATGTATAAAACATGTTTATTATAGAAGAGAAAAGCCGAGAAATTCTATTGCACCCGTGCGAATCCGGAACGGGCCGCTATCTATCGATAAAAGAAATACTTCTTTTTTCACGTACACCTGTCCATTCGCACAAAGTTGGTCACTGGCAAAAAGCCAAAGTTCAGTGCCATGAAGATTTTCAATGGCGCGTGGAGGGTAAAGTTCAAGCTCGGGGCATTTCAATGACCCATGCAGTGATGAAAGACAGGGCGAAGTCACACGGGCGCGTTACGATGGACGGAGCGCTTTTGCTTGGTTGTATTCCTTAAAGCTTCCTAGATCCTTGCTAGACAGACACTCCAAGTCCAAAACTGCCTGAGCTCGAAGTATTCTGTCTCAATCAGTCTCTCGGTTTTTATAAACAAAAACTGCTATTTTTATAATTTATTAACACAAACCTAGCCGAGAAAATTACAATCGCATCTAAAAAAGCATTGGCCAAAAACGTGCAGTCATTCTGAAGTGATTCGGTATTTAATCCTAATAATATTATACAGTGCGAGTCACGTTAAAGTGTACATATGAAAATAGATAAAACTAGACCTATTTTTATCGACAAAAAAGAGGTCAAATTTTTTTTGAGATAAAAAAAAAATATAGATTTTTTTTCTTCCAATTACTTATTGTAAAGAAAACGTAATAACTTTTAAACTAAGCGGTATCTCCTGATAAAATAAAAACTATAATGATGCTAAATAACAGGCGATACTAAAAGAATACATAAAAAAGGTCAACAAATAATAAAGAATGTCACTTTTTGAAAAAAAATATGCTTTTAAATTCGTGTTTTTTGGTTATTTGATAAATGGCAATGCCAGATTTTGTATGGAAAGTGGCGTCTTTTTTTTTTTCGCGCGGCCATCGACCAAACTTTGTTTTTTAAATACAAAATAGTGTAATAAACCAAACTTACTATGGCATGTATACCTCTAAACTCAGTCTGAACTGAGTTACGAGCATTAGAAGTTTGATTATTTTCATACTAGATTTGCTTTTTGTGCGCAAGTTTTGTAAGAAATTGCAACAAAATATTGCGCTATTTTTTTATTGCGCTGATTCTGCTCCATACTGATGTCTGGAGCCTTTAATGGATGATATTGTTTGTTTACACATACAATCTCACTATTTTGTTGCAATTTCTTACAAAACTTTGCGCGCAAAAAGCAAATCTAGTATGAAAATCATTAAACTTCTAATGCTCGTAACTCAGTTTAGACTGAATTTAGAGGTATACATGTTATAGTAAGTTTGGTTTATTACACTATTTTGTAATCAAAAAACAAAGATTGGTCGATGGCCTCGCGAAAAAAAAAAGACGCCAATTTCCGGCATTGTCTTTTCTCCAAAAAATGCCCCCATAACAGGTAGTTTTTATTACTTTGTATTATTCTCTATCGTATTACCTTCGTAAAACCAAAAATCAAATGTCTCTATCCCTATCACGTTTGCAATGATCCTTTGAACTAAGCCTCTCCGGGCGCGCCATTCAACGCTTCGTTAACAACGAAACTGAAAATGGCTCTAGATTTGTACTTTGATAAAGACAAGTTAGATTTCAAATAAAAACAAAAGATTTCGAAGTAAAATAAGCATTTTAGTTAAAATTAAAATTGTCTCTACCTGTAGCGGAGAATAATGTTGTGGCAGGCCTTTGTTCAAACGATCATAGCAAATGTTGTGATAGGGACAGAGACATGCGGCTTTTGGTTTTACAAAGATAATACGATAGAAAATAATACAAAATAATAAAAACCACCTGTTATAGGGGCATTTTTTGGAGAAATTTATCAAAAAACCAAAAAAATACGAATTTAAAAGTAGTTTTTTTTTTTTTTTCAAAAAGTGTCATTTTTTATTATTTGTTGGCCTTTTTTGTGTATTTTATGTATTTTTTTAGTATCGCCTGTTATTTAGCATTATTACTGTTGTTGTACTACTATTTTATCAGGATATACCACTTAGTTTAAAAGTTATTGCGTTTTCTTTACAATAAGTAATTGGAAGAAAAAAAAATTCTATAAAACATAAATCTCAAAAAAGTTTTTGACCTCTTTTTTGTCGATAAAAATAGGTCTAGTTTTATCTATTTTCATATGTACACTTTAACGTGACTCACACTGTAAATGCGAAAGTTTGGATGTCTGGATGTTTGTTACTCTTTCACACAAAAACTACTGAACGGATTTTGATGAAACTTTACAGTATTATTGTTTATAACCCAAAATAACATAATAGGCTATAATTGATGACGATCTGTGACAAACTAAATTTAGACGTCAGTAGCAGTAGACGTCGTCTGATATCAAATAAGGAGGCGATGCTTTTGTCCATGAGTGGATAAAGGCCTCAAAAATTTATAGCGTTAGAAGAAAGGAAGAACAACTTACGATGGGTACGCGACGGTGCAGACAAAGATTGGGATGACGTCTGGTTCCGGCGGCTGCGGTGGGCTCGACGCGTCGATCGACTCGAGCGCAGCCCCAACGAACACGTTCTCGCAAGCCTGTAAGAGAAACCCTGTAGTTACAACACTGGTGCTAGATGCAGAACTTATACAGCACGCAATCCACAAGAGGGCGATTCTCAAATACCTATATAAAAACTTTTTGAAACAACACCGTAACTGAAATATCGCATTTCACGAAGATTTTTATAAAAAAAAATAATCAAAAAGACCTCTCAATACTAATAGAGATTTCTGTGGAGTACCCATACAAAAATTTTATTTATAGCACTACAATTTTACCTTTCATATAGGACAGGTTTATTTAAGCCTTATTTATTCAGTACGAGTAATCTCAATTCGTATTTTTAACAGCAAAGATGAGTAAAATAAATCTTTTCTTACGTAAGTAATAATAAGAACTCAGTAACAAATTCCAAGGAGTCTTTTTAAAATATAATTAATTATATACTAATTAAGCTATTTCTAAAAATAGTCTATGTAACACGTAGGCAGAAAGCAGATCAAATTCGTTAGCTTTAACGCCATCGCTAACTCTTGCGAATTTTATTTCGATTATGTTATTATATTGATGTGATTTTATTAATCCAATCGAGATAAAAAATCATGCAAGCGGCCTCATTCGAAGTTAGATGAAGTAAAGCGTTCGGAGCGGCATATGCCGACAAGTGACCGACTACATAATTGAAACGTTTCGACACCAGCGAGGTTACTGCGGCACTGCCCAACTGACTTTCGACACACTACAGTGTAATCATCTAGAAACAGCACAAAATATCGCTTTTAAGGTTTCATTAAGACTAAACGAACATCTTGAACACTTTCTTGAGTTTGAGTTCCTAGAGTCCTACTTATCCACATTACTTAGAAAGGGATCTTTTTACTAAACCTAGTAGTTTGTACACAACAGTTGTCTGTTAAAAGGCACATTCAAACCATCTTTCGCGGTAAAATAAATCTTAATGTCATATTTATAAGTAATTGTAACAATAGCAGTTCACCTTCGGAACCAATTCGTCAAAACCAAAAGGAAAGCTAAGTTAAGTTAATTTCAATTATTATTTATTTAAGTAAAAAACAACAATTATTCTTATTTATTTTTTACAAAATGCTGTAATTATTGACTAACAACTTTTTAACCTGATTGTGAACCCGAAATTAACCAACCTAATATTTTATTAGAGCATTAAATAAAATTGTTTAAATAACATGTTTCATTACATTACATAAATCTTTATTAACAACAAGTATTTTTTCGATATTGCCGTGTTTTTGTTCATATGGATTTAACGTCACTTAAGCAAGTATCGTTTGTGAATAGGGGTGTTAGTGTACGGCCCAGAACACACGGTGAAACGCAATTGCAACGAAACTGCAACTCCAGTTTGAAATGGTCGCGTCATGTGTGGTCTCTCAACGGAATCTATGGCAGAAACTTAGATGCAACTCAAAAGTAACTAGAAGTTGCAGTTTCGTTGCAATTGCGTTTCATCGTGTGTTCTGGGCCTTAGTGTGGTAGCACAGCACGCACTCCAGGTCACTGGGCGTGAGCTAGATACACTTTTTTTTTTCTTTTTTTTTTATCCACAACGAGGAAGCTCTTGGCCTGTATCTCACCTGATGGTAAGTGACGATCAGGCCGAAGGTGGAAGCGAGCTTCACCCGGAATCCTCAACCACGGAGGAACTGGCTATCTTACCTCTAACTGCCGGAACACAATAATGCTGTTAACATTGTTGTTATGGCGACAGACTTAGGTAAGATGGTGGTAGCTAGCCAGGCGGACTTAGAACAAGCCCTACCACCAACCAAACCGAACAGAAAAATCTGCCCCCACTGGGAATGGAACCCGGGACCTCTGCGTCTGAAGCAGGTGGTCTTACCACTAGACCACAGACTTGTAAACAATGAACAAGCCTACCTGCGTCACATCGAAGTCCTCCAGCGGTCGCATGCAGAGCGCGCACGCCTTCCTATAGTCCAGGGCGCGCTCGATGCAGGTCCGGCAGTAGGTGTGGCCGCAGGGCGTGGTGATGGGCTTGGTGTACGTGTGGTAGCACAGCACGCACTCCAGGTCACTGGGCTTGAGCTACATACACTTGTAAACAATGAACAAGCCTACCTGCGTCACATCGAAGTCCTCCAGCGGTCGCATGCAGAGCGCGCACGCCTTCCTATAGTCCAGGGCGCGCTCGATGCAGGTCCGGCAGTAGGTGTGGCCGCAGGGCGTGGTGATGGGCTTGGTGTACGTGTGGTAGCACAGCACGCACTCCAGGTCACTTGGCTTGAGCCAGCTACTGGCGCCTTGCAGGCGGACCGAGCGGAGCAGGTCACGGGCGATGCGGCGCGGGTCGCTGCCGTCAGCCAGCAGGACGATCACCTGTGCAGATGTTATGTTATAACCAGAGATGTTATGGATATCCGTAACCGTAACCGAAACTTTCGGATATCCGAAATAAAAAAAATCCGTAACCGTAACCGATTCAAAAGTTTGTGATAGTTTCGGATGTAGGCAGAGTTAAGCAAGTCCCCCCTACGCTGATTTAATGATTGCATTTTGAAGTAACACGAGTTTTTTCCATAAGATAAAAGCTTTTTGCGAGATCAAAATAAGGTGACAGATGCCAGGAAAATCTCTTCTGTACCCATTCTATTTGTAAGGCATAAACTATGTTGGACAAGTATTGCAATTTGCATTCTATAGCACAGATATCCGTGACCGTAACGTAACCGAAACCTTTGGATATCCGAAATAAAAAAACATCCGTAACCGTAACCGAAACCGGTATAACATTATTCCAATATCCGTAACCGTATCCATAACAGAAACTACATATCATCCCTAGTTATAACCAGACGTCCTACTAAAACCAGGCCTGTTCATCTCCGCGAGTTTACATCGAAAACAAAACACGCACGATTGCCCCCTACAAGAGTACTATTCGACAAGGCCTCACATACGAGCGAACATTGACTCACGCACGCGTATTCTTGTGTATGATGGAAAAAAATAAAGAAAATGATGTACTAAATACTGTGCAGTATTTAACTGCCTAAATAATAATAAAAACACAGAATGTACTTTTTTAAGTTGCCTGAAGACACTGAGAGGTAAATAAGTATTTAATATTATTCATGATAATTCATGCTAAATCATGTATTTCCTCCGCCATTTTCTGCAGATTGGCACCTCACGTCACATCATTTTACCGAAGTCAGCCCTATAGATTCGGCGCAGTACCGATCACTGACGTTTGTCAACAAAACTTCTGACAAACTTGCTTGACTCTTGAGACAAGCTAAATTATACCATATTGTTAATGACATTGAGCATACATTTTTTTAAATACCTTCGCGAAGTAAAACTTCTGTACGTAGTACTTATTATTATTCTGTGCTAAAACCAACTTGAGATATTATTAGTATTCCCGTTAACGCCTCCGAGTTAGCTTAATATGCTTGTATTTGGAGTCGATTCATACCAATAATCCATTGGACGGGGATTAAACTAGCGTTACTCGTATTTCGAACCTGCACCGTTTGAGTTGATAAAAATAATTAAGATCTTATCCAATATTACGTGGTTGAAGATCTCCAATATCGTCTCATGATTCGTACAAAAGTGTTGATGCATTTACTTAAGGATGGCGTTCGACTATTCATTAGTGTGCTTTGATACACGAGACCTAACCTAACCCAACCCACTCGTATAAATGTTACGGTCAAAGTGATAAATGTGAAAATTATGAATAATCGCCGGTTATTATGAATAATTACCGCATGATTTGGTAAATGTGATTAATATGAGGTCATTTATGTGTGTATAAAACTAAATAGGCGGCTTAGGGGTATGTTATAGGCATCATGGAAAAGTAATATTATGCAAGAAACATTCCAAACTCATTATGCCAAATTATATTAATATATGATATCAAAACGTTCAAAAGTTTGGCTGTACACGTACACAAGATGTTGTTCTCTTTTATGAAATTTGTTAGTACTAAGGTTGAATTATTAAATAATCACTGTTAAATGTGATTAATTTATCACTTTTACCGCGACTGTCTGTAATTATTCATAATAACCGGTTATTATTAATAATTATCAATTTATCACATTAACCGTAACATAAACATTATCAACTGCTACTTGTTGCAATCACCGGTGACATAATATACGGTCCATACATACCTACTACCTAAAATAGGATTTATCGAATATGCAGATGGTAACAAAATAATAATTTTCCTTCTGAATTAAATTTAACTGTCATATCGCCACTATTTACTGCCTGGATCGGAAATTCAAGTAATAATGCGTCTGTCACACAGCCTCGGATCGCGGAGGACCTTAGCTCGCGTGTCGTTTCCGACGTCATGGGTAAATAATATGGTATCAATAGTATATTTTCAGAGACAATGGCATCCCGAAGGGGACGGCGCGAGGTCATCGCATCGCAGCCTGTGCTAATGTGGTGATTGACCTTTATAGCCGAGAGGAGCAAATGAGCAATAAATAGTCATTACTAACATCTTATTTTAAACGCACATAATGAATGTAATGTGCATTACTCGGAGCGGTGTAACAGCGTCGTAACGAAAGGCTTACGTGAACTTTACGTAACTTTTCATGGCAATGAAATGGTCTTCCGTCAATGTCACGAGACATGCACGTCGAGGGTGATTAACTCCACGTAACACGCTATATACTTAGGTGCAGGTGGTCCTAATTCCTAATTTATGTTCAGGGTTGTTTACTACATAATCCCTGTTAGATAAATCGAACGCAGCTGTTCCCTTCGACCTCTACAACACCTTATTAGGACCTTGATATCTTAATCTTTAAACATGTTTAGTAATGGAAACAATTTGTACGATTGTTATGTAAAGGTTAAAGTTTTATTAGATTACTTTAACGAGAAACTAGCTCGTGAAATAAGAAGGTGGTTGGAATAATGACAAGTGCGAATATCAAAATAAAACAGTATTTTAGGTAGTAAGTCTAGTTCCAAAGAAAATGTTATTGTATAAACATCATGTTTTAAACTTCCCGAATTAGATCATTAGCATATTAAGTAAATTTATATAATATTAAAACAACGGAAACTTACATCTGACTCAGCTGTTATTGTCAATAGCATGTTTTAATTTACTTTAAATTACGTATTTATTTATTTAATTGAAGGAATCGTTAATAAACATCAATAAACGTTTATACAAATAATACAAAGTAACATTACCGCACTGGTAACTATTTATAAAATAATTCAATACTAATTCAATTGAGTTTAAAATCCTGAGATGATGTACGTACCTAACAAAATATCTGAGCGCCCACTTTTCAATGAAAGGGTCCAAATTTAGTTACTACGCCTTTATAATATGTAGAAATAAGCGCCACAAAGACTTGCCATTATGTCATTGTGATTGCGCCAGCTAGTGTAGTAGTAGAGTTTTGCCTAAGCCACAATAGCTAGTGGAAAAGGGAAGCCTTTTGATGAAACTCTAGCTACTAGCTAGAGTAATCGATTCGCGTCATGAGGTATTCGAACATTTTCGATTCTAATAGAAGTCGGAACAAAATTGTTCAAATGTAGATTGACCTGTTCCTGTTACTATACAAGGGTAAATTATATTGATACCATAAAGTTAATATTCCTTCGGAATAAAGCGACAATGGATATCATTGGATGTCATTTGTGTGTTAGTGTCAGGATTATTTCACTGTTTTGTACATTAAATCAATCGCCACGTTTCTAAAGCACTTTTCACTTAGACATCCACCATTTCACTCACGTAAAATCTGAAAAAATTTCACAGTTAAAATTTTAAGTATGCCAAATAAGTACTAACGAACTGTCAAATAGTTGCAAAAAACGGTTCTGTTACGTCGCATCTCTTTTTATCACACAGTGTTGCTGCTGTAGTGACATCTCGCTCGCTCAGTCCTTCGTTGCTCTATTCCATAGGTAAGTATATAAACTTTATGATTGATAATAATGTTAATCCTAGTTACGAATGTAACGACGTCGATATTTTGTTGTATAATCAAATGATCGGGCAAACAGACTTTTGCCCTTTGAGGTGAGAAGGGTATCATACTATCGCATGCAGTGTTCCAAATCTGTATTGCGGCTCTTAAGTTAGGCCCATTCATGGAAAATGCAAGTGCGGATATAGGGGTATAAATTGTAACTGTGTTTTTCAACAGTGGTGATGTATATTTTAGGACTAGTTAGATGCAAAATACAAAGGATACATTAAAATTAATTGTTAACTGAATAGTAGATACTTAAATTAAAATGTAAAGGTGGTTTTAAAGTAATAACTAAGTGTTGTAATTACCTATATCTTTACTTATTCTTACGTAACTTTGTCTTACAAGACAGTGTGTGTGTCACCCGCACCTACCAAAGTCTCTCGCATATCGTCCATTCTTTCGATTGAATACATTAGCGCGATTCCACATTGCGCTCCAATTAGTACAGATGAGAGCATGCGAAGCGTAACACTGTGGCATCTTTATACATTTCGATGTCGAATCACGAAAAGGCGTATCTAACAAAATGGCAATAGTGAGTTAAACACACTATGTTATTAAAAACGTGCATTTTATAATATCTCAAAATATCGTAACTGAATTCTTTTTCAGGAAGCCAGTATTGGCAGTTAAATAGGTCCTGAAATGCATTTTTCCGTACTTACAATTTTCTTCTTTACGCTTGGAAGAAAAATATGTAGTCAGATGTGTTATAGACTGTAAATTAAATCTTTATACTAGACTAGCGGCCGCTCACGACTTCGTACGCGTGGCTCCCGTTTTACCCCCTTAGGGCAGGAGTTTCGTAATATCGCGGATGCCTACGTCATAACATCTACCTGCATGCCAAATTTCAGCCCGATCCGTCCAGTGGTTTGGGCTGTGCGTTGATAGATCACTATGTCTGTCAGTCAGTCACCTTTTTTGAGTTATATGTATATATTATTTAGATACTAACCTGGGACAATAACATGCGGACGTTCCGCGCGACCGCGAGCGACTCGCAGGAGGCCGCGACGCGCGCTAGATGCGGCGCCGCGTCGCGGTAGCGGCCCACCAACAGCAGTCGGCGCGCGTACTCAAACTGCACCTAAACGTTGTTTATATAGACTATAATTTTCAGTGCACAAATTAGTAATATCCCAGTTAACCCTTAGTTAAGCTAGAAGCCCATCCCATCTCATCTCAGTTGCAATATTAAGAGGCTCCGCATATACAGACTTTTGTGTCCAGTTGCTTCCACAATGCACTTCCACATTTCCTAGGATGGTGTGCCGTGCCGGTAACAGAGAGGCTACGTTTGCGCAACCCCTGACCCAGTTCATTCATACTAGGGCACCATTTCATTGGAAATTGAACAATTCTGTAGTAATTTAAGTGTAAACTAGACTACTAGCGAGTAGTATGTAGCATTCAGCTAAGTTACTAATTTATGATGCAACCTTTTCTCGCAAAATATTTTTTATTCTAGTAGTTTTCCTGAATCACATATCTATATTTTGGTTATTCATTTATATATTTTGACATAGACGAATTATTTAATTCTCTAAGATTTTTTACTTTCTATCCTTTTTAAGGGGAGAACACGATTAAATTACAATCATTTCCAGACAGCATTATTGTGTCATCAGCTAGACAAAGAACATTCGTCATACGATTAATGTTTTTCAATTGGATTAATATTCAAATTACAAAATGATAACGTTGGATGAGCGTAGTTTCGTTTTCTATTGACGTCATTCAATTAAATTAAATTTTTCATTCATTCGGCCTTCTCAAGTATACCAGCAGAGAGAGCAAAATTGCATTTTACCTAATATTCATAGATAGGTAATAAAACGATTATTCGTGTTTTCTGATAAAGGTAATAATTAATATCCTCTAATTTTTCCTTGTGATCCGTAGGAATACGTCAATATAAGTAAATATGACTGTTCGTGCAAGCATGCAATATTTCATTTTAGTTTGCCCAAAACATTGCTACCACTCAAAGGTAAAATATTTTACACTAGAAACAACGGAATCACTGAGTGAGTCAAACATAAAAGACGTACTTGACATTTTTCAACATTTTATCAACAGTCCCAAAAATAAAGTAGGTGTGTCACTACTTGCACCTTAATGGACAGCAGCCAAATGCATCCACCAGGTGTGAAGTTTAAGCTACGCTACGACAGATTAAAATGACACTCAAGTATGAACGAATGTACACTGAAGAATAGATTCAAGTGTGCTTGGTATAAGCAGATGCTGCAATTTGTCTTACTATGATTCAATCAATTTAAATCGAGTTTTGATGTACGTTTCATAATACGGGTCTTCTAATTTCGTATAGCCCTGAGGAAAACATGTGCTTTTCAACCGACTTCAAAAAAGGAGGAGGTTCTCAATTCGACCCGTATGTTTTTTTTTTCTATGTTTGTTACGCGTTAACTCCGCCAATTATGAACCGATTTGAACAAATCTTTTTTCGGCGTATAGGTAATACCTCAAGGGTGGTCCCATTTAAATTTAATAATAGAAAAAACAACCCCCAAGGTTGAAAAATTGGGGATGAACTTTTTTATACGCAATATCTCCGCCGATTATAAATCAATTTGAACGATAATTTTTTTGTTGAATAGGTATTATCAAAAGGGTGGTTTCATGCGAATTTGAAGAAAATATTTCACCCCTAAGGGTGGAAAATTGGGGATGAACTTTTTTATATGCAATATTTTTAATTTTTAGTTTTTTTTGTGTTCACGCATTTGAAGTCGGTTTTATTTTTTTAAAAAGGTAATTATTTTCTGCGCCAACGGCAATATTTCCCAAACTTTGTTTCTATTTCGATAACGCAACGACAAAACACACGTTTCGTTTCAACCATTACTCAACTTGCAAGTTGTTTTCAAAAACAAACACGTGAGACGGTTCCTACTCACGAGTCAATCATTGAATGATGTTTGGCTTCCTACTGGATTTGTAGAATTTCGAAAATTTTTAATTATTTTAATTTTCATACAAATCGGATTTTATAAAATTTATTTTGTATGAAAATTTAACAAATTAAAATGATGATATCAAATTTCTGACTTCACCATACCATTTATATGCCCATGTAAACATGGGCTAGTGTCGGCTCATATACCCATTTACCTAACACCCTGTATATTAACTTTTATCTCAAGAACAAAATCATTTTGACATATTTCCATACCTACAGAATTGATGAAATATCAGCCCCAAAACAAATATATTTTCTATGGCAGAATAAGAAACACCAAAAAATCCTTTATCAAAACAATGGCACGTGTCGAAAGATGATTCAATGTTTAAAGTAGACACGCAGATATGAATTAATATGTAATAGAGGCAATAAGTCAATAAGTCAAAATGACTAGCATGCAACTACTCGCGTATAAATTGTAATCACGCACTTATTACAATACATACCTACATGATTATTCCGTATGCGTACTGGCGATGTATATTTTGGAGCAAGATAATTGACCTAAGTCAATACAAAGTATACGCGAGCAGTACGCAGCATATGCGTACTGGTCGTGTATAGTTTGGAGGAGCTTAGTAAAAAAAGTCATTTCCAAACTATACTCGATTAGTTTCACACCCTTGCGTTCTGGCTATGTATAGAACGGAAAGACGCGACGCCGCCCTAGTCAATCGTCATCATCATCATCAGATTGCGAACTCAATTAATTGCCTCACAATTATCGATTTTAAAAAGAATTTTACATCCAAATGAAAACTTACTCAGTTTACAGCGCAGCGCTAGTTATGAGTTTATTATAGAAGTTGTCTTGGAATTATTTGTTATTGGTATCCACTTTCAATTACTTCTACCTCCTACTAACAAACCAGTAATTGATATCAACTACCCAATTAATTTCTAACAGACCAGTAATTTGTGGCAGAATCCTTGGGAAAAAATCTTTGATTGTGTATCTGTAGCAGCGGAAAGTGTCATTATAATGTCATGTCATGGCCGTGACCCACATTATTGTCCTGAAGCAGTGGTAGGGTTTAAATTGGACGTGTAAAAGCTTTTTAAAAGCCTAAAACTCCGCAGACGACAAACTTTTAGTCGGCCGATGGTTTTGTCGTGATTTTATATTAATGAAAGAGCGCACATTACAGATTTGGTATCGGCCGATTCCTAATAGAAATTGGAAGCCGACCAGACTATCAGCCGATAAAAAGTTTGTAGTCTGCTGCGACTCTTCAAAAAGACACAAAATTAAATAACTTTTGTCTACCTGTGGCGACATCGGCATCCTGGCGTTGACGTCACACGGAGCGTTGGATCGCACACGCATCGGCGCACTGCGGTTTCCGCGAGAGCGGCGCGGGCGAACCGTGCCGCCTACCGATGGCCCTGTCAGACAAACAAACATGTTTTTTGACACAGCTTTTGACAGAAAACATATTTCGCTGAATTTGCAAAAATGGAGCAGACACAATTTGCTAAGTTATTACTATAAGCATTTCCTTCCACTTCATGTTTAAATTGCTTTTATACATTTTCGNCTGCGATTTGTCTATGATTTTACATGGTCCATCAAGTTAAATCACCAAAAAAGCTGTTTTCGTTCATTCTTTTTGTATAGTCTGTGGAAAGAAAATATTAAACTCTGTTTTAGCTATCAAAGGTTTATAAACGATTATGAATAACGTTTTTTATCAGAGGTTTATAAGAGTGTTTTAAGCCTATCAAACGTTTTAGCTAATGTAGGTTTTAAACCTATATTAGCATTTTATTATGAATAAGACCGTTTAAAAATAAAAGTATTTTATTACCTAGACCACATTATTATTATATTTTTAATTAAAATCCATAGCAAAGCAAAAATATGAAGATCTGACAACAATAACAGATTTCTTGGGCTACTTCTTCTCAACACTAGCCTATATTAATATTATCCCGAGGGAGTGGTTGAAAGCCTATTTACAAAAAACAGATCAACTTTATTGAAGAATAATAATGTGCACGACGCGACGCGACGCGACGAGTTAGTTGACATCTCCAAAACTATCTACTTGACGAATTTAACTTTACAAGGTTAAGTATTGTTATTAATTAATAGTGACCTCTCGCTTTTATACTCCTAAAAAGATACGTGACTTAGACAAGTTGCTGTAATAGAGATATCAGTTGACCCGCGTACCTGTCAGCTCCCGCTTTCTGTGTGTCCTCGTCTTTCTTTCATCATCTACGTCGGATAAGAAACTTTTTGTTTGTAATTACAACGGTTTCGGCTATTAACCCTGCAAACGTTCCTGTTATTTTGGTCTTGGCCTGGCAACTTGCCTTGTCGTTCATTGACTTAGCCATTCAGTATCAACGACAAAATTACTCCCTCCAACAAAATACGTCGTTCTCGTGTTTTTTTTTTGCTGATTACGAAGGAGATCGGACTGGACTGGACCAGTCAATGAGGGCTATCGTTTTTATACTTAACAGTTGGTACCCCTGGCGATTGACAGGAACTTACCCTACAGTGGCGCCATCTTGATGAGTTCAAATCCAATAGTCCTCCTATCACTTTAGCGCTCACCAGTTGGTGCCACTGTCTTCGCTACAAGCAAGTGACAGGACCTTACTCTACAGTGGCGCTAACTGGTGAGCGCTAAAACGATAGCCCTCATTGAGGTACTTATTGTGAGCGGTCAAAAAAATTGTTCTCCATAGATTTCGCATGTAAATAACTAAATACCCATGTTTCACGTCTCTTGTAGGATTCGTTTTTCAAAGCCAAACTGTCCGAATGATTTATTGAAAAATCGCATATCGCAAAAAAATAAACATGAACCATGACGTCCATGACCTATGATATAACATAATTAATTAAGTTCATTTAAAATCGTCGTTTTATGAGCCAGTTCAAGGATTAATTTGTGAATAACAGTCCACATGTCCGATCTGCTATTATTTTATTATTCACTATGGATGGCAACTTAGTTGTGTTTTGACAGATGGGCAATTCTCTGTTCTGTTGCAAAACGCATGGATGGCGTGGCGCCGTTTCGCGCCGGCTCACTATGGAGCGAAATTGCGATTTATGGACATAGCGATTTTTTTCACAATTTCTATTTGAAAAAAATACCTATCGATAGGTTACGTTATTCTGATAAATAAATGCTGCACAAGATTTTCTCTAAAACCAATAGTTTGACTGGAAAAAAATATTTTCCATTTTCGTTGTATGGAATGAAACATAAAGTGGTCGATTTCGACTAAGCCTTGACAGATTTTGCTTTGAAACTACTTGAGCCTTGTTCTATGGCTTGTTGACTATAATCCTGCACTAACAGCGCGCGCCCAAAGTTGCCCGTTCAGAAGTTATGAGGTTCCAAAAAATGAAAATTAAAGTAAGTAAAAGTATCTTTTTTTGGGTATAAATCTTTAAAGATTCAACTAAAACATGAAAATTATATACTTTAGTAATGTAATTAACCTTTCTCTTGTCGTCTTATCTAAAGAAAAGTCAATTTTACTTACTTTAATTTTCATTTTTCGGAACCTCATAACTTCTGAACGGGCAACTTTGGGCGCGCGCTGTTAGTGCAGGATTATAGTCAACAAGCCATAAAACAAGGCTCAAGTAGTTTCAAAGCAAAATCGGTTAAGGCTTAGTCGAAATCGACCACTTTATGTTTCATTCCATACAACGAAAATGGAAAATATTTTTTTCCAGCCAAAATATTGGTTTTAGATAAAAACGCTCGTAATATTTATTCATCAGAATAACATACCCTATCGATAGGTATTTTTTTTAAACAGAAATTGTGAAAAAAAAATCGCTGATTTAAGTCCTTTTAAGTTTATTAAAATGTGTTTTTAGCAGTAATTTAAGGTTAATTTACATTATTAACGTATAAAATCTTTATATTTTTGTTAAATCTTTAAAGATATTCCAAAAAAAAGTCACTTTTACTTACTTTTTTTTAATTTTTCAGAACCTTATAACTTGTGAACGGGCAACTTTGCATGCGCGCTGATAGCGTAGGATTACAGTCAACAAGCCATAGAACAAGGCTTAAGTAGTTTTAAAGCAAGATCTGTCAAGGCTTAGTCGAAATCGACCACTTTATGTTTCATTCCATACAACGAAAATGGAAAATATTTTTTTCCAGTCAAACTATTGGTTTTAGAGAAAATCTTGTGCAGCATTTATTTATCAGAATAACGTAACCTATCGATAGGTATTTTTTTCAAATAGAAATTGTGAAAAAAATCGCTATGTCCATAAATCGCAATTTCGCTCCATACGCGGCTCTCGCGGCGACCGCTTTCCACGGCGCCGCAGCGGCCTTGGCTCCGATGCGGGCTGGGAGCCGCGTTGGGATTGTTAAATGTATAATAACAAACAATTTTATGTGTCGTTATTTTACATTACCACATTAAAATACTGTGCCCTAGTAAAATAATACTTCCAAGCAGGATACTTTTAATTATTGGAATGCTAATATAAATTCCATAGTTAGCGGAAGATATTATAAACATTATTATAAATGTAGACATTAATTGATCAATAGAATTGTTCATATTGTTACCATTGCAACTGTACGAGTATGTACGATAAGGTATATCATTTTACAGAAATACCCAATGACGTGTTTCCATCATTAGCTAGTAGTAATGTTATGTAAACGTGTGACAGTACATATTATATCTTAAACAAGTTAAATCGTCTTAAGGGTTATTACAAGTAATGTATATGGTCATTATTCGCCGAAATATTTGCCTTTATAAATCGCAAAGACTGTGACATTTGTACACTGCTACATAATACGGCGTTACATAACCCAGAACGGAGTCAGAGTCTGCGTTATGTTATGTAACACGCCGTCGCAAGTGATCAGCGGAGGGATGAGATAACTTAGGTTTTAAGGCCAACACTAACTTATATAAAACGAGTAATTAGATCGTATTGATCATAATAATGATAATGATTATTGCCTTAATTAGGTACTTTAGTTTAGTTACATCGCCAAATTGTATAACTTGCTGTCTTTACAAATATTTGTTTCGATTCACTAATTAACTGGTTAATTCAGAGTTGCCACTTCAATTAAATTATTTTTATCGTTTCTTTAAAATACTAATTAAAACGTCATTACAGTTTTATTTGTATATTTTTTGCACCTGCACAAATGTCAAAAATAAAGGCAAAGTATTTAAGGTTTATTTATAATTATTTAAGCCTAAAATAATCATTAATTATTTAATTCTGCATATTCCGCTAATCGCTTGTGACTCGCGCAGCGTGTCACGCTATTATTCAAGTTCGTATCGACGACTGACAACGACCTAAGCCTTTCATGACCACCACAAAGAAATACCCTTCGAGAAAAAAATAGACCGACTATTGTTTCTGGGTTTAACTGTTATTTTACAGACGATTACATAATTTAATTTCGTAAACGGCTCAAAATTCCCCATTTAGGTTTGTGTTTTCCAAACAGAAAACAATGCAGCAAGGTGAATCGCTTCAAGTACTAAGACGTCATTCAAGGATTTCGTAATTTTAGTACCAGGAATAGAACTACTTCTGGTGAAACACTCGGAAAGGGCGCGAGATCTACACTCCATAACACAAGTATTTAGGTATCTATGTTTCATTCATTACATTGAGATCATGACGATTTATAAGTACTCGTGTTGTTGAAAAAGATATAACACTGCACAACAGCATTTCTGATGATTGGGTTATGTTACATGATATTAGTCCAATTTTTAATGACGATTTCAAATCTGTGATTGAAATGTCTGTATCAGCTCTGGTTAAAAAAATATGACACTTGGGTCTTTTTGTAAAAAAAACACTCTTTTTTAGAGATGATCCTATTTTATGAAGTTGTTAAGTTGAAAAAACTTTCTTTTATTTGACTTCCTTGCTGATGCTGAAGGCAGACAGCTCTTCTGAATGATTCAACAGCAGTCAGCCATCATGTGTGCATTCCAGTGGCCCTGATAGCGTCCCTCTATCGTACGAAGGCCCTGGTGGATTTGCTCGCCATGTTCTTCACTTAGATCCTTAAGAGTTGTGATAAAATTGTTCAGGTGATTGCGAAGAGAGTGTAATTCGATGTTTATATTACATCCAACCAAAAAAACATGTTTGTAAGTGACTCATACGTTGTTCGATTTGTAAGAATAGTAAGATTTTTTCGGATTTTCCAAAAAAAATAATTAAAATGCCAAAATAACTCATTCCATATCTTTTCGGAAGACTTGAAGATTCCTTTCAGATCATAGCGGTTTCGTACCTAAATCTACACATATTCTTATTTGTTTATAAACGTAAAAACTCAACGCATCTTTTCCACGCCTTTTGCGGAATTCAAGGCTTATCTTTCATTTCCACTGGGTCC